TTTCATCATCATCATCATCCGTACACCATAAAAATATATAACTCCTATTTAAAGATATAATTTATGAATGTGAAGATTCATACAGTAAAAGATTCAAATATTGAATAAAAGAACAAGAAAAGCAAGAAGAATTTGGTGGTGGAATTTTCGGTTAAACATCATTATTGTCTTGTGTGTGTACCAAAGGTTTGTGAGCGAATTAGCGAGTTGCAGGTGTTAATTATCCAGGCAAAACCGATGTAACTAGTAAGTAAAATTTGTGGTGACAATATAATTACTCTTTGGATTTATCTACAGAATTAGATCTCAAAATGATTAAGATTTGTTATGAGCGTATAAATATGCATTAAGGTTGTAATAACTTTAGTTTTTCTTGATTAACAAGATATTTTAATTTTTTTAGTTAATTGATGGATTTCAATATTTTTCAATTCCATGCGGACGAATTAGAGCAAACGTCAGTTCGTATGTTATTAACAAGAGTTTTTTTTTTATTATTATTCACGTTTTCGATCAAATAGAATTACTACAAATGCCTAAAAATTGATCACTTTGCCATCAAGGTGTACATTTAAGAAGCTATCCACTTTTCAAATAACCAATAAGATTTTAGACATTAATATTTATTAAACCAATTAATAAATGTAGCCCTTGTTTGACGATCATTATTTGGATAAAATAAAGTTTTGAATGATGATTTTTAGGAAAATGTATGGTCAAGATGTAGGAAACGGTTATGAATTTACGCGCAGCATACTTTAATGTGAGAATGTGTAATTACATTTAAGAAGCTATCCACTTTTCAAATAACCAATAAGATTTTAGACATTAATATTTATTAAACCAATTAATAAATGTAGCCCTTGTTTGACGATCATTATTTGGATAAAATAAAGTTTTGAATAATGATTTTTAGGAAAATGTATGGTCAAGATGTAGGAAACGGTTATGAATTTACGCGCAGCATACTTTAATGTGAGAATGTGTAATTAAAAATGAGTACATAGAAAAAATAGTTTTCAAATAATGATTGTCAGTTTGAGGCTTAACATTGGATATTATATTCCATTAAATAACACGTAAACCACCGCATTGATCTCAAACAAACCGTTTGAATTTTAATCACATTTTCAAGACAAGTTAGACAAAAACGATCAACATAATTAAAAATAAGGAAATACTTATTTATTATTTATAAACATTTTAAAGTAAAAAAATGCCCGTTAACGACAGAATCCAGAAGCTGAAGTACCATGGATGGATGACATGCTATGATCCACAAGATGAGATATGGGCCATATGGCAGCATTCTATTGGCTACACCATTTTAAACTTCGTCGTTTTTGTTTTGTTATTTTTTGTTCATCTTATCCAAAATCTTTGATCCATAATCTTTTGTGTCTTTACACCCAGAAAGAGTTTGGAACGGAACAAAGAAAAGTTAAAAAAAGAAAGAGGAAAATCATGGCAAGTTGCAGTATGACTTCTGCTGCCTCAGGATTTTTGGGAGTACCGAATGTCATCCCCAGCACAAGCACAAATCGATGCAGCATGTTAATGTTGACATCCAAGAAAAACAGCAATTCAAGGCTGAGCGTACGGGCGGAGGAGGTAGCTGCACCCGCTGCAGCCACTGCTCCGGCGGCCAAGCCGCCTCCTATTGGACCCAAGAGAGGAACTAAGGTGTGTAATTGCTAATTAATGGCTATCTTAACTTATTCTTGAAGTAATTCATTTTCTGTATTCACGAAGTGAAGTACCATATTTTCCAATAAAAAAAAATTTACAATCAAACTCCAAGTTTTTTCTACTTTTTAACCATACATTTTCTAAAGAATCACTGTTACACCGTAATATAGTATTTCATAATATAAATACAGGTTAGAATCCTTCGCAAGGAGTCCTACTGGTACAAGGGTGTGGGATCAGTTGTAGCTGTTGACCAGGTAAAGAGTGTGGCTAAGCTTCTTGTTTCAGTGTATTTTTTCCGATATTCATATGGTTTTTTAAATTTTTCAGGATCCCAAGACTCGCTACCCAGTTGTTGTGCGGTTTAACAAAGTGAATTATGCTAATGTTTCGACAAATAACTACGCCCTGGACGAGATCCAAGAAGTTGTTTGAGTATTTTTTCTTTCTTCCATCTGTGGAGAAACATTTCAATATTATGTATGAATTTGTTCATCCTTTATTGGAGCAATATAAAATTCAAGATTTCGTACTTTATTATTAAATTTTCGTGATATTTTGACTTAATCACTCGTATTCTTATTCCAATTCTAAACTTTTGAAAAATGTCGTGATTGTGGTAGAGTTGATTTGATAACCCTACTTTTTTCCCCCTTATCAGCGTGGGATGTAGGGAGAAAAAACGACTTTTTACAACCTAATAATACATTAAGCCCATGTTTGTCTTTCATTAAATTAAAACTCTTTTTTCTCAAACTCATTTTCAAACACACATTTATACAATAAAATGTTCTCCACGTATATTCAAAATTTTTATTTTTTTTATTTTTTAACCACACATTCTTCAAAAAATCATCATTTTAAAACTCATTTTCCCAAAAACCTCTTTTAATGGAAGACAAAAAAGAGGCTAATACCAATTCATGATTTTGGAATAGATAGACTTTAGTGTGGAAAAAATGATAACTATCATAATTTAATAATACAATTTCAAAAATATTAAACTTGTAGATTCTTTCAAAAATTAGGTTATAATTAATATATATATTTTAATAAATATATTAATTTAAATCAGAAAGAATAATTTTACTTAATTGAGAATTAAATAAATGATGCACTACAACATATCAAGTCATCTATAGTTTGCTAAAAATACTATCATGCATTTTTCCGAATGTTATTATAGGTGGTGTTATTAATCGTACCACTACGATATCATTTTATAAATGCTATTATAAAGTGTTATAAAAAAAAACTTTTACACAGAATTTAAGTATCGTCATTATTTTAGTATTTATAACATTCTTTTTGTGTAATCTTTTTTTTAATTGATAGCATTTTTCTCATATAATTTTGATTTTAATAAAATCCTTTCATAGCCATGGTTACATCTTCAATAGTATTCTTTTTCTATCATAATATTTTAATATTTATAGCACTTACTGAATATAATGTATTATTTTCAACAGCATTTTTTTCTTGTAATGTATACAAATTACATAGCATTCCTAATTCCTAAATTGCCAAATGTAATTATTCAATATCATTATTTTTTGGACTAAAAATATGAATAACCGTAACCAAGCCAATAATAAATTCCAAACAACCATCTATATTATCTTGTAGGTCAAATACTAATAGTAGATAATAAATAAAATTAAATTAAAATTATCTCATTCTAGTTCTTCGAATGAAAATTTCTTGAACTCTGTAACCTGTTTGGTAAACACTTCTGTCAAACTAATGATGCATTTAAATCTGAAAATTAACAACATGATACAACTTATTAGATTGTAAAATAATGTAGAGTAAAAAAATTCAAAACTCTAATTTGTGATTGAAGATATTACAGTATAAAATTTAACCTTATTGTCTATGCTATTTACTCCATTACAACTTTGTCAAAGGCCATGCAACTGTGGTACCAATACATTCTTCAATACAAGTCATATCAGAAGTAGGCCTCCAAAAAAATGCATTAAGTTTCATAGCTTCATCAACCCGAACTCTCATAGCATTAGATCCTAAAGCGATGTGATGAACCAATATTTTCGGATTGAAAGCACCCAACATGGTAATCAATTTAACTGATATTTTATTCATATGATTCTGTAGAATACAATACAATACATTTTGAAAGCTCTTTTTATGTTATTAACTCAAGCCTTGTTGGAAATTGGTTTAAAATTGAAGGATAATATGTTAAGTGTTAATACAAAAAATGTGAAAAAGTGACTTTCGTGTCAAAACCAATTTCTGATTAATGAGAAGTTGCACTCCAAAGTTGGAAGAATAATAGAGGAAAAACTGGCCTAGATTTTTGCCTAATTCTGTTGCTCACCTATCTCTCGAGCGGGCTATCGATCGAGCAACGAGCGGGTAAAAAAAGTTTCTATTAATATTTCGACATTAGCACTAGAGCGAGAGGTCAGCGACAAGTTAACGACAACAAGTGATGGATCTATTTGTAAGGTTGCGAGGTTTGATATACAACACTTCACCTACAACCCTCATCTTCTATAAATAGTACCCTTTGGACATCCATATTGCATCCCATATCACTTTTGCATTGAGCATTTCATAGAATCTCTTGCAAAACTCTCCAAAAATCATTCCATATCTTTTTTCTTTTGGAGAGGATAAATTATGTTTGAGTTCGCTGGAACTTGTAGTTTAAAGTGTTTCTACCACAAGTTCTATCCGTTGTATCTTAGGATATAAGCACAGTGAACCGTTAGCACCATTACGAGGCAATTTTGTCTTATGGAAAGAGTGATATTTCACTTACCTCGGATCTCTTCTTCTCTTCATTCCTGTTTTCTTTGTAGTTTATATACCATAAGGTTCTTTCAATAAATTATTGTGTTTAATTACGCTCCTGCATATTAAATTTGATATTATATTTTGGCACAATAACAACCTTTTGACCAACTTATTTTGGCACAAGAAGCCTGCACTTTGCTGTCTTAAAAAGGCCATAACAAATAATTCAACAATCACACAATAATCAACACAAAACAAATGCATTTCGAATCTGCCATAACTAATTTTTACTTACATTACATATTCCACTAGAATATTTAAAAAGAAATTCCCAACCAATAATCAAAGAAATAATATTTGAAAGCTATTTAACCAAAAATGACCAAGAAATAGTGGTAAATGAAAGCCCTAGGCTCACAACAGCACCTCAGTCCACTGCCCACCTCTTTTTCCCAATCTCTCTCCTTCTCTTCTGCCATGTAAAAGACAAACAAAAGGATCTTTCAATAAAATTTATAAAGTGAAACAAAAACAAAATCTCAATCACAAAAAGAAAGAAACACTCGGGTCGCACCAGAGCTAATGGGTATGGTCCGGTGCGGTCATCATTATGGTTCTATATATAGAATCAAAGGGTAAAGAAAATGAGGGTATGGAAGAGATGAATTGATTTGTTGAAAAAAATAAGGGAAATGAATCAAAGAGGAAGAGAGGCAGGAATGAAAGAGATGTGTGATTCAATGAAATAAAAAAAATCAGGGTTAAGAAGACAGGAGTAATATTTGGGTAACATAATGGAGGGAAGTATTTTGGGCACTTAATTAGATAAAACTGAATTTTATTTTATAACATTACCAATAAGAATGTTATATTTTTTGCTATAAAATATATAAAATGTTGTAGTGACATTTAATGATTGTTTTCTCTGATCTTTCACTTCCTAAATATACATACAGTCCCAACATTATCCAAAGTCCTAGAACAAAAAATAGAATCATATATCTCTATGACATGATTATCCATAAATAAAAAAAATAAAAAAAAAATTTTGAGCACAAATTTCCAGCTTTATTTTTTCAGAATAATTGTTTCCTTGTTCACAGTTTCTTCAGAATAATTATTAACAATTTTTGTGTCATGCTTACATCTATTGGTGAAGCACAAAATTAAACAGTCGTTTGTAGATAATAGTTTCAATTACATGCATGGGTCATTTTATGCAAAAATTGTAACTATGACCTATATATTGTGACACTATTTTGTGGTTTCATGTCTTTTTGAATTTAACTTTAAACATGTTTTTTTTGAAAATGGTGACTTCGTGCAGTAGTTGTGATCTGGTTAATGCTAAAGGCTTTCTTTAGAACAATAGAATTAAAATATTGAATCTGGTTGTTAATGATCCGATTTTCTTTCTCTCCAGATTTTGTGATTTTGAAATTTGTTATAGATGATAATTTACTTTCAAAATTGGGATTACTTACTAAACATATATTGTTATTGCCCCCCACCCCCCCACGCCTCTTGGATTGGATAAAAATCTAATTTTTAGTAAATTTTAATAAAAGTTAATAAAATGTGCAATTGAAAAGTTACGAACCTCATGAAATGCGAAGTTAAAATTAATTTCTGACTTTAACTTAAATTTTAATTCTTAGTTTTGCCAAACAACGGGCATTATTTCAGAGGAAATGGTGGGCAATGGCTGCCCCACCCTGTATGTTTTCCATAATAGCCTTTGACCAAGTAATTTGTTAAAAAAAAAAAAAAATGTAAACAAAATGTGTAGGGTCGAAAATACCCTCATTTAGAGGAAAGAAGAGAAGAGAAAATAGAGAGAAAAAAGAAAAGAAAAAAGGGAAAAATCAGCTACCGACCGTCGACATCGCCTACGGACTGCCCGGACCTCACCAACTTCGACCAAGACCAGAGCCACCTCGGATTCACCGGAGACCGTCATTTTCTTGAAGGTTAGACATATTTTCTATAAATAACTACTTTGAATTTGTGAAAGTTTGAATGTTTAGGATATGAATATGGGTTAAATTCATGTTTCTATAGTTAAAATGTAAGAAAATGTCGAATTTGAGGTTAAAATCTTAAAAAAAAGTGAAAAAAGGGGCGGAGTCCATTTCCGGCGAGCCCGCCGGTTTGGTCCGTTACGGACCAAACCGTTGGTCCGTAACGGACCATCTGACGGTCTGTTACGGACCAATCCGTAACGGACGGACCACACCGGACCCGGATTTTGGTCCGGGTAACCGGCCCAAATCCGGGTCCATCAAATATATATAAATTTTTTTTTTTTTTTTGTGTGTTAAGAAATAAAATGAAAAATAAAAGAAATAATATATTAAGAAAATTAACGAAATATTTAAAGATAAATTAAATTGAGTTTTAATTTTTTGTTCTTTTCTACTTAAATATACGCTTCAAATAAATAATCAAAATAGAGTAATTAAATATGAAATAAATAATATACATAATTAACGAAATATTTAATGAATAAATTTAAAAAAATAATATTTTT